TGAACGGACAAAGGAGAAACATCCCATCCACCACAAACTGGCGCGTTCGTGTGTTCAGTCAGTTGATGCTTCTTCCGTTACGGATCTTGCTTTTTTAAGAAGTTCGCGCCCAGAGATGTCCTTCAAGCATCAGCGGCTTCATCGAGCACCCTAGACGTCCCGACCGCCAAGCTTTTTCCAATAACTTGCCGCTTTAGGGCATATCCGTTTGACGGTCACTGATCCAAACGTGACAAAAAACATGAAGCTGTTCGACATATTGGCGTCTCTGTAGTAGTGCGAGCAACACATCACCCCTACCGATTTCCCCTTTTTCTTCCATACGATCGCGATCGAACGTTTTGTCTGACCGGACGTGTTGTTTCTTAAAGGCGCAAATCGGGCACTAGCCCAATTCGCGGACCTCGCAGGAATGGGCTTGCCAAAGAGAAGGAGCGCATGAGCCAAACAGCCGCTTCTGGGAGGCATTCAATTCTTGCCCTTGTGGCCCAATCCATTGATGTGTTTGACCACGGGAAGAGTGTCGCCGTGATTGGCGCCGGAGCAGGTACGCGTTACATGGCTCTGGAATTGTTGGTCTGCCCGTGTGTCTCTGTATCTTTCTTTGCCTCTTGCAGGTGGGCTTGTGGCAGCCCGGCATCTCCGCGACGCCGGCTTGGCTGTGCGCGTCTTCGAGTCATCGGGTCAGGTCGGCGGCATATGGGTGTACGGCGACCACTCGGCCATGTATGATTCGCTTCGCACCAACATACCCAAGGAGATCATGGCCTTCAGCGACGTCCCCTTCGACCCATCCCTGCCCTCCTTCATCAAGCACACAGACGTGCTCAGCTACCTGCAGGCATACGCCGACCGCTTCGCCCTCCGTGACTCGATTGCCTTCAATACGACTGTCCACTCAGCCGAGTACGTGGCAGCTGGCAGGGAAGGCGCAGCGGTGGAGGGCGGCTGGCGGATCAACGGCGAGGAGCGGCTGTACGACGCTCTAGTGGTGGCGAATGGGCGTTACAACAAGCCGCGGTATCCGAGACTGATAAAGATGGGGTTTCGTGGGCCGTCTACGCACTCGAAATACTACCGCGAGCCGTCAGCATACGCCAGCCAGCGGGTGCTTGTGGTCGGCGGCAGCTGGTCGGGATCGGGTACGCCCATGCGTGAATGAACCTCCCCCAGTCATATTAGAGGCGCCTGTCCATCCAGGTCTTTCTTTTGCTGTCCCTCCTCGTGTGTGTGGCAGATTTGGTGTGGGAGCTCAGCAGCGTCGCGACTACCGTTGTGTGGTCGGGCACGCAATTCACAGACGCCGACACAGCGGCTGACCTGGTGGCCAAGCTGCCAGCCAGCGTGTGTTTGGTGGGCCGCATTCAAGGTGTCGAGGAGGACGGCCGGTACATCAGCGTGGGGAGCGACGGGCAGCTGGTCACCAGCACCGACACAATCGATGCCGTCATCTGGGCGACGGGATACACATACGGTAGGTACGGTGGGTAAAAGCGAGCAGGCCACGACGGCACGGCACACTATTTGTTGTGGTGTTGTACGGTACGACATTCAGATTTCCCGTTCTTCGCTCCCGGGAGCGGGCTGATCCCGTCGGGCACAGCGGATGACCCACAGTGCCTGTTTGACGCCCTCCACCTGCACGTGTTCCGCAAGAGTCACCCAGCCAGCCTGTTCTTCGTGGGGCTGACCTTTGGGACCGGCGGGTTCTTCTTCTGCATGGAGGTGCAGGCCAAGGCGATAGTCGCCGTCCTCAAGGGGCAGGTCTCGCATGCGGTATATATAGTTGATTGATTGCACAGATACTCACACACACGGGTGTTCGCATGTGCCTGCTTTCTGTCTGTCTGTGGTGTCCGTTTCAGGAGCTGGCGGCTCTGCCGAGGTTCCCGCACCACTACACGCCCGCCTGCTACTGCGCGCTGCTCGAAATGATCGCCCAAGGCAGTCACGAGTCCTTCCCCCACACCCACAGCCGCAACGGCAGTAGCGAAATCATCACGGCCGACCCCGATGCCCTGCAGCTGCCCCCGCACATTCTGCTGAGGAAGCATCTGCACATGGACACGACGCTGTCGAGGAAGAGGCTGCCCGGCAGATATAGGGAGAGGAACTATCACATCTGCATGAGGGAGGGAGGGGAAGGGGAGATGATGGCTTGGCAAGTGACCGAGCCCGTAGAGTAGTGTGATGGAATTGAAGGGAGGCGTGTATTTGTCGTTTGGTGCTGGCGGGGAGAGGAGAGACCCCTTTTCGTAGGTCGTCGGTGTGGTTTAGGTAGTGGTTGGTGGTTGTGGTTGGTGGCTCGCGCTGTTTGTTGCGCTGGGCGGCGCAGAGGGCCAATTGGCTCGTCGGCCTGTGTGTGTGTGTGAGAGAGAGAGAGATTGTGTGGCGTGTTTGTGGACTGGATTGGCGTGTGTTTCCTCTGCGAGTTCGTGCGATGAATGGATGGATATGTGCGGACTCGTCTGAGTGAGAATGGATGGATTGAGATCCGATTTGCCTCACATCGTCATACATCCGGCCATTCATTCAGTCAACATGAATTTGGCCAATCCATCCAGTCAGTCAGTGTGTCGTCTACTCCTCGATCTACTCTACAGTCTGTCTGTCTGTGTCAGTCGGTCGGTCGGTCTGTGTGTGGGCAGCTGGCTCAGGCTCAGAGGTACCAGGGGAAGGTGGCGAGGGCGTCGGTGGGCGTCTTGAGCTGCAGATTCTCCGCGACCTTACGAGCACACACCTCCGCCATCTTGACCACCGCTGGCACACGGATCGGACCTGATCGATTGACATTCACACACACACACAGTGAGAGAGAGCGAGAGGGCAGGATGTGTGTGTGTGTCTGTGTGTGGCACTGGTTGGTTGCTGACCGCTCCAGTTTTGGTACATGGTGCTGAGCTGCATGGTCAGGTTGGTTGTTTGGTCGACGTCGAGGCCCCAGCGATCCATGTGCAGCACCTCATACCTGTTTGTTTGTTTGGTTCCACACAGGCAGGCAGAGCAAAAACCCACACACGCACAGCGTGTCTCTCTCTGCCTCTCTGTCTGTCTGTCTCTGTGTGTGTGTTGGTGGTCACTTGGTGGGTGTGATGGTGCCGCTCGTGACCTGCTGATGGCAGCCGTACCAGACGTACACTCCCTCGTCGGCAACACCTGATTGAAATGCACACACACACACACTCCACTCACACACAGCAGTCACCTCAGCCCCCATCCACTCACTACTGATTTACCTTTGTCGAAGACGGAGAGGGGCGGGGGGTTGGACAGCTGGTTGCCTTTTGCCGTGGCGAACCTACACACACAAAAACACAAACACAAACACATACGCACACATACACACACACACACAGAGATGGGTGGGGGTCTCTCTCCCTCTCCCTCTCCCTCGCTCTCTCTCTCCGTGTGTGTGTGTGTGTGTGCCTGGTGTTGGTCTGTTGTGTGGTGAGTATGACGGCGAGCTCTGGTTGCTTGTCGCCGCAGGCCTGCTCGAGGCCGGTCTTGATGGCGGGAATCTCGTACTCGGTTGCAGCGACCTTCTGCCCTTCCCCCAGGCCGGTGCGGTAGATGATCATGCGCTTGACGCCGATGTTGTTGCGCTGCTTGAACGTCTCACACGCACCCGATTTGATTATATGCACAGAGAGAGAGATGCATCCTGTGTGTGTGATGTGTGGGCTTGTGATGTGTGTGGATACGAGAGATGAAGTTGGTGAGTGCTCCGGCCAGGTCCATCTCAGACGAGTACACCTGCGACACTGAACCACACACACACACACACACACACAGAGAGACAGAGAGGGATCTGTGTGTGTGTGTGTGTGTGTGTGCGGCTGGCTGTGGGTGGTTTACGTGTGAAGTGCTCGATGAACAGGTCATCGACCGTTGCACACAGCGACACGATCGTCGAATCTGCACACACACACACACACACACGCACACACACGCACACACACACGTGCCTGTCTGTCTGTCTCTGTCCTTTGTTTGTGTGGCCTCGACTCACTGACTCACTGACTGACCTTTGCTCTTGCGCGAGTCGACGCCGATGGCCATCAAGGGCTTGCGCCCCTTGACGTTGAGCCCCCACGCAGCGCCGCCCACCTTGCACACGATCTGCACACACACACACATGGATGGATGTGTGTGTGTGTTGAACGGATGGATGTGTGTGTTGGTTGACCTGACCTGCTGGACGACCTTTTGACAGGCTGTTTGCCACTTGTTGCTGGCCAGCGTCTTGCTCTGCACGCACTGCGCCACACACGCACACTGGCTGCCCTCGCACGTCAGCAGCTGCTTCAACCCCTGAACACACACACGCACACACGCACACAGCCGCGTCATTTCTCTCTCTCTCTCTCTCTCTCCGTGTGTGTGTGTGTGTGTGTGGTGTGGTTTGGTTACGTACGTTGTAGAGTTGTGTGACGCTTGTTGTCTTCCCTTTGGAGTTGGGGAGGAGGCAGACCACGCACTGCGCTCCGCTGATTTCCTCGACGAGGGTCTGGTGGTCGGCCAACATGGCGCTCAGCGACTGGTTGATCAGCCACTTGGGCGGCTCCCAGTCGCCCATGCCGAGTGCTAAACACACACACATCCACACACACACACACACACATGAGATGAGTGAATTTGGTGGGCGGGGCGTGTGTGTGGCCACGTACACACACACTTACACGTCGCAGCGGCGTAGATGTCCCTTGCCATTTTCTGCGCTTGTTGGGCGTCGCTCTTGTCGGCCAGCACAACCCATTTCTCGAGCTTGATGGGCTTGAGGCAGCCCTTGGGGATGAAGTTGAACGAGTCGCCGCGCAAAGCATTGCCACCTTGTAAATTGTTGACACACACACACAGACACACCAATCCATCCATCCATCCATTTATGTGTGTGGCCACTGTGTCGCTGACTGTTCTTGAGTGCGTCCTCGTTCTTTCCCTTCCTCGGCGCCTTCAGCGTCTCGAGCGTGTTGGGGCGGTCGTAGTACTGACCATACACACACACACACATGTGTCTGTGGCTGTCTATGTGTGGGTGGGTGCGGTGTGTGTGTACGCGGAACGAGTTGGCGTTGTCTCCGTCGTTGAGCTTTCTGCCCGTGACGCTCTCCTTGGCGTCGCAGATTTCGAGTTTGAATTTGTCCAGCACGGCCTTGGCGTTGGGATTGTCACGCAGCACCTCGACGAACCGATGAGCACGCTTCAGCCGATCGTCTACACACACACACACTCACACACACACTCATCCATGAGATGGATGGATGTGGCCTCTCTCTCTCTCTCTGCGTGTGTGTGGTGTCTCTCTCGCCCACCAGGGGTCATGCGGCAGGCCTTGCCAACCAGATCGTTGATCAAGTGGTCGTTGCGAATCGTATGACCATACATAGAGACACAGAGAGGGATATATGGCGATGCCCGCGATGTGTGTGTGTGTGTGTGGGGGGGGGTCTGTGGGAGGGGGTCACACACAGACTCACTCGTCGAGTCCGGTCAGCGTGACGCACTGGACGGGCAGTTTGATGGTGCGAATGACGACCTCCACCTTTGCACCATCGCTGTTGGTGACCTTCTTGCGACGCTCAGATACCACTGCACACACACACACACAGACAGACAGACAGACACACAGACAGACGTGTGTGTGTGGGTTGCTTCCTTCCTTCCTCCCTCCCACACAGACTGACCGAGTGTCTGGCGGGGCTGGCACTCGACGCCGTACATCTTGAGGAGGTACTCGGCTATGGAGGTTTCGTTGCCGCTCGAATCGACGAACTTGGTCTCAGGCGTCTCGTCAAACGCTACCTGCACACACACACACACACACACAGACTGAGTCCTCAAGGGAGAGAGAGAGCCAAGTGGATGGCTGGCCGTGTGTGCGCTGTCTCGCTCGCTGTGGGGTGTGGTGTGTGTACGCGCGTACGCGGTCGATGCAGTAGAGTGATCTGCTGCGGTTGTTGTCAGGCCCCGACTCCTGCACACACACACACAGACAGACATACAGACGTGTGTGTGTGTCTGTGTGTGTGTGTGCACTTTGTGCGTGCGTACGTATGAGGTCATGACGCGCCTGCCCTTGAACTTGTCGTTGATGTGTGTGTGGAACGCTGCACACACACGCAGGGTGGGGGAGAGTGGTGTGGGTGTGCCGGGGGTGGGTGTGTTGAGGGGGAGAGGGAGGGGGTTTACTTACCATCCTCACTCCCACTGAACCCTCGCTGCATCACACACACCGAGAGAGAGAGAGAGAGAGAGAGAGAGAGGGAGAGGGGCCATAAGCACATGGATGGATGAAAGGATGAGTGTGGTGTGGTTGGTGTGTTGATTGAATGGGCGTAGTACCTTTTCGTTCTGGATTACGGCGAGCAGCGTCTCGTTGTGGACTATGCGGTGCGTGAGGTCGGCCTGGAGGTAGAGGGACTTGCCGATCTGCTGGATGGACGTGAAGTGACCTGACAACCAACCAACCCAAGCCACAAACCAAGACAACACATCCATCCATCCATCCATCTGTGTGTGTGTGTTGGGGGGGGGGGTTCACCTGGGAGCAGCAGCATCTCTTTACTATTGTTGGGCCCGTACTTGACTTTCTTGACGAGGGTGCTGAGCTGCTCGGGCGAACGCTCGCTGCACATGTTGGTGAGGAACCCGTGACGCCCGATGAACTCCATGTGCAGCTGGCCCTGAAAAAAAAGAAAAAAAAAAACACACACACACACATACAGGAGAGAGATTCATGTGTGTGTGTGTGGTTGGTGTGGGTCACCAGCGCCTTCTTGAGTGCGACGTTCATGTACTGGATGGCCTCCTGCGACAAATCGCCACCGCGCAGCACCAGGTCGTGCTTGAACGCCAACTGAATCGAAAACTGCACACCAATGACACCACACCACACACCAAAGACATGCATGGCCGGATGGGCCCATCCATCCATCCCCACCCTCCCATCCCCGTCTGTCTGTCTGTCTGTGTGTGTGTGACTTACCGTCTGCGAGTTGCCCTGGATGGTTGAGTCGACCGCCACGGTCTGGTTGGGCGTGAGGCTGTGCGGCAGCGTGACGAACAAGTTCATGCCCTGGTGCAGGATGGCCCCGACCTTCGCACCATCAGCAACCAACGCGTTCAGAATCTGCACACACCACACACCACACACCACACCACACCACACCGCACCATCCATCACACCCATCCATTCATCCCATCATCCTTCTCTGTGTTTGTGTCTGTGTGCCATGGGGTGTGTGTGTGTGTGTCACAGTAATCACCGGTTCCTGGGCGTTGTAGATGACCTTGCGCACCTCGCTGACATTGGTGATGGGCGGGGTGATGTTGACGGCGTACACCTGGATCTTGACCGACTCGTCCACCTTGAGGTTGAACAGGTTGGTGGAGGCGTCGACGGAATTGCCCAGCGAGCAGAAGGAAGGACGCACCACCGCACCGCCGCCAGCCCCGTTCGGCTCCGTCATGACCGCTCACCAACACCAAGTGCAGCAAGCAGGGGGAGGACGGGGCCTTCAGTCAATCACTCAGCGGAAAGAAATCAGTCTAAGCCGAGGAGAAAGAGAAGAACGCGAGAAAATGGCAGCTCGCTCCCTCTCGAACTGTAAACTCTCCCCCCACTGTCTAGGGACGGCGGCACATGCACACAGAAAGCCAGCCAGCCAGACCCATCCAGCGGTTGTATGGCACATGTGGGAGGTCGACAAAAAACGACATGCGTGTGTCTTGTCTTGCAATGATGTGTCTCAGCGAGATCAGTCAGTCGCCAATTCATGTGTTCACTTGTCCACAGAGCTGTTCACTGCAGGCAGACGGATCACATCGGTGGCATGGATGGCTTTGAATTTCAGCAGTGTATTTGTTGTGTATCTAGCCATCTAGGTGTCCATCTCACTCGTGCATCAATGCATGTGTGTCTACACGTCCCTTGCACCATCGTCATGTCGGACAGCGACATACCAACCAGCCTCCAGGCGCTGGGAACGACGGGCAAAAGACTGACGGACCAGCCGGCGCATTGACTGCCACGCGAGAAAACCAACCAATCCCTATGCACAAGTCTTACTAAGCAAACCCCCCATCTCCTCTTCGACTCCCTGCTCGCTAGGCACAGCGTCAATTCCATCACCGCCGGACACATGCACATAATGCACGTATGTCCCTGCTACAGCTACCAGCCTTGATCGACTGCCGACCGTGTGACATCGCCGTCGAACGCATCGTAGCCTATATACGGGAGCGGCCGGTCGGACAGGAGCGCGTCAAAGTCAGCCTTCAACACCTCCTGCGCGTGCACACAGATATCGACGACTCACTCCGTACACACCTTTCCGTTTCCCTCCCCGTGGTTGGTGCCTGACCTTCGGTATCAGTCCAATGAGTGCAGTGAGGATCTCCCCCCGTGCTGACACGAGCGCAATGTGAGGAATGGCATCGACGCGGAACCTCTGCACCAGCCGCTGACTCGACGTGTCCGACCGGCTGCCATCTACCGTCACGAAGTTGACCCGCCCTGAGTACTCCTTCTCGATGGTCCGCATCGACGGCGCCATCGTCTTGCAGTTCTCGCACCACGGCGCGTAGAAATCGATGACAGTCGGCCTCCCGTTGGTGAACAGCTGCGCATCTGGTCACACGGGGAGAGGAGGGCACCATGAGTGAGCACTGGTCAATCAACAAGGGTCGGCGTGTGCTTACCGACAGGCGGTGAGTCGCGTTCCATCTCGCGTAGGATGACCAAGGGGTCCGCACGGAGAGGATTCAGCCGCTGACCGCCATACAGCAAGGCCCCACCCAATCCACTACCTGACAGATGCAGGGCGCACGCACACACGCAGCACAGACAAGGGGATGCACAACCACGCCGCTCTCCACTGTGTGTGCTGGCATGCCTTCTCTGCTCACCCAAGGCGACCCTCATATTCTCGCGCCTCTCCACATTGAGTGCCTCCACCGCCGCCTCCCTCTCCCTCTCCCTCGCAGCAGCCGCTCCATCGTCGTTGACACTCTTGCCTAGCAGAAGCGCCATCCTCTCTTGGGCCGTAAGGCCGTCATCCGGTGCAGCGACAGCTGTGCTGTCGGCCTCTCTCTTGCCATCTGTTTCACCAGCGCTGGTCGATTGCTGCTCGGCGAAGCGGTGAGTGGGCCGTCTGCGGAGCTGCAGTGATGGAGCGGAGACGAATAGAGGGTCAAGCCACGGCCGCGAGTCAGAGATCACGGAGTTTGCCGGGTTGCGCGTCGCCGCGTCTCCTTGCAGCAGAGGGAAGAAACACAGGATGCCAGAGATCTTCTTCATTCTGGGAGGGAGTGGGAGAGACGGAGCGAATTTACGATCGGAGCGAATCAGTCCAGTAAGCTCGCAGTGAGGTCGAAGCCGCAGACCAGTGCCCTTTGGAAGACATCGCATCGCAATGGCCTTCACTCAGCTGAAAGCGACGGGCCTGATCTGCCTGCTGGCCATCGCGCAGTGCTTCGCCATCGACACCAGAATCGACCTCTCGAGGGCTGCATTCATCAACCCGGCACCCATCGGCAGTGCATCTGGCAGCCGCGCCCTCTCCCGGACGGCATCGCCACAAGGTATCGGGTCGCCTCTCCTCGCACCCTTGCTGGGCCTTGACGGCAGCGACGCTTCGGCAACGGCCCTGAGCATGGCAGATGATGCGCCACCCGGCAGCCGCGCGTCGGTTGACTTGAACAGGACATCGTTCTTCTGGGGTGTGCTGCTGATCCTCATCCTCTCGGTGCTCTTCTCGAGCTACTTCTTCAACTGACCGACCGACCGACGGACGACGGACGGATGACCACTGCTGCTGCGGGAGGACAGGGCGGCGGGAAGGAAGACCGTGTTTGCTTTCTTTACCAGATGTGATGTGATGGCTGTCCGCAAAATGAAGTGACGTGTGCGAGCGTGGATGCGGGTTGGAGGAAGGCAGGCGTGTAGGTTTCTGTGTGACTGCGTGAAGTGGAGTGGGGTGCGTCACGGCCGACCGACTGGCTGCTGGATGTTGCCGTGCCACTCACGGTGGTATGGGTGACTGTTTGATTGGGCGCACCGCACCTGTGTGACTGACGTGGACGCATTCGTGCTTGCAATGCAATGCAATGCAAACCCTACCTACATGACAGACCGAACGAAATTTCTGCGGTGAAGGCTGTTGCAGTCAGTAATCTGATTTGGTATATTCGATCGATTGCCACCCCAAAGGGAAAACGTCCTTACAGCATCCACACTGAAATGCCCAGTAGGTCCATCTCTCACACACAAACGCAAACGGTCATCTCCCAGCCGTCCTCACCAGTTTCAGAGCTTCCGTGATCTTTGCCTTCGTGTCATCATCCGCATCAGTCAGACCTGCCCGCGGCGCAGCCACACAGCCAATGAACACAAATGCTGAATCAAGCAATCAGCCACTGCTCACCGGAGAGCCTGGTCTGGGCCTCCTGCAGCATGTAGGGCTGGGCAACGCCACTTCGCGACAGCCCCCATATGGTGTCGGCCAGTGTGCGGTCAGACATCCTGTGGACCTGCAGACAGACAGCCACGCAGACATTGCACACGTCGTCAACATTCAGACGAGCGTCTTGTCTATCCGTCGATGAATTCTTCGTCGTCTGACCTGTTCAGCTGCCTGTTCAGCCACCGCCGTGCCCAGCTCACGGCGAATCGACTGCACCACACACCAACCAAACATTCGGGCTTCACCTCATTCCAGCGTCCCTACCTGATTCCTGCCCCGCGCCACTGCAGGTCCACCAGCTGTGGTGCCGAGCGTCCAGCTGAGCCTGGCCAGGTCGTTAGGGCTGACCAAGCCACTCTCGCCACGCGATGCAAATCGCCGGCGGAGCTCAGTGTACCCGACATCGAATAGCTGCACGGAAGAGGAGGCGAAACATTGATGCGAGATGAGACGGATGGGTACCTGGCTGGCTGGCTCGCTCACCCGCGGATGCTCATCGGCGGCGCCGAGGGAGGCGTAGCAGGACAGAAGGCGGACCCATTGTGGAGTGGTCAGAGCAGCGCGACAAGACAGGGCCTCCGTTTCAAGCTCCTGCACACATGTAAACAAGGAAGAAATGACGTCTCCGTGTCAGCCTTTCTCGTGTTGTCCTGACCGTGAAAAGCTCCTGCTCATACACGCCAACGGTTGCGAATGACTGCGCACACGTGACGATGTCGACGGGCTGGAACTCCTGCAGTTTGGCCGACACCTTGCGGGCCAACGCCTGGAAGGAACCACGATCCACACGGGGATATATGGACCTGACAAGGACATGACGCAGGCCGTTTATCCATGATGATACATCTGTGCTCTGCTTCATGGTGTGCGCTTGCTCACTTCATAAGGTCCCACACCGTCTCCGAGAGCTGCGGGATCCGTCCGCGACGCAGACTGCTCGACGCCTCCTGAATGACCGACCAGTCACACAGCAAACAGGAATTGAGCTCATTCTTCTCTCTCCGATGCCACTGACGTACCTTTGCAGCCGCCTGATAAAAGTCCAGAGGCGGGCTGTCTGGCTCTGACGATTCCTTGGATGCAACGGACGACAGCAACACCACCGCTTCCTGACACAACACAGAATGATACAAGCCAATCGATATGCTCATTCCCATACTTCTGTGCGTATGGACGAGCCTGAGGAGAGAATTCTCCTATCTGGGTGGCGGCCTTGTCAGCGATGGCCCGGATGAGGCGACCACTCTGATCCCCCTGATGCGTCTCGTTCATGGCCGCGTGGTACAGCAGCACATGCTGGAGCTTCGAGTATGCGTATGTGACGTCCCGCATGTCCTCGGGTGTCATCTCGTGCACCCTCTCGACCAAGTGGTCAGCCACCGACACCAGGAATGACGTGTGTAGCTGGGTGAGGGCCGACCGCTGGTGCAGGGCCGTCAGCTGCCGTTCCATGCGGCATGCGGCAAGCAGGATGTGGCTGATGGACTGCAGGCTCATCGACATCAGCCGGGGCGTGGCGAAACGCACAGTCAGCTCCAGCAGATCCAGATCGACCAGGTCCGCCTGCACCAGGCAACGGGGGTGGCGGATGCATCACATGACGGTCATCTCTGGCTGCGTCTGACCTGATTGAGCGCCCACATGACAATAGACACCTCCTGCGGCTTGACCGAACCCTGTGCCAGCGCCCGTTTGCCACCACCACCGTCGCCGCCAATGTCTCTCCTCAGTCGAGTCTTGACTTCAGCGGCCAGCGCACTAAAGACGTCTTCGTCGAACCACTTGAGCTTGGCGTATCCCCACATGATGATGGCGATGGCTTGCGACGAATAGCTGCTGAACGACGATGTGCTCAGCAGCCGCTTGCGGGACTCCTCGTACAAGGCATCGGGGGGATCATCCGCAACGGCAAACGACCACACCAGCAGGGCCAAATCCTGACGGGAAAAGAGATGGGAAAAATGATAGCCACCTCACCACGTGATGTGCTTCGGGTGTGCGGTGTAGTGCGGTGTAGGTACCCGTGGTGGTGCTTGTTGGAGCAGCTCGGCCGTGATAGCCTTCCCGATCATTCGCAGCGCCTTGCGCACCAGCTCCACCACCACTGCAGACTCCGATATCAACACTTGGCCCCCGCTCTCACCCCCATCATCGTCAGACTCCAATTCCTCAGCAGACGAAATGCTCGCGTAAGAATGTCGCCGCAGATGTGTGCTCATGGCCCACGCAATGGTGGTCAGCTGTCCAGTCGAGAGGGAACCCCGAAGCAGCAGCCAGTTCAGCCGCGGAATGGCGGCCCGCAGGAGGGGAGCCGACAGTGTGTCCAGCTGCATCCACCAACAACAGGCATGGAAGGGACCTGAGGTCTAAGAGAGGTTGCGTCCATAAGCTTACCTTGACGGCAGCCCACAGAGTAGTAGTCAGTGCCCCTGCCCCCATGCTTGATGCCTGACGCACGCAGGAAAGAGCAAAGAGATATAATGGCTCTCAGGGCGCATGTGCGTACAACGCCAGTTGCCTACCCTTTCTGCGACGTGACGCCCCAGCAGGTCCAGCACATGTGCGCTATCCTCGGTCAAGCTGCGCTGTGGACGCTTTCTAGATGGGGAAACCTCATCAGAATCGCCGTCTGAGCCAGCCTCGAGTCGAGAAGGTATGGGCATGTCTGCAGTAAGGGCGTCGGCTGTGCCGCCCCGGGAAGGGCCTGACTGCATGGCGAGGCTCCTCAGCAAGCGAGTGGCGAGAGCTGTGCGCCTGCGCACCCCCTGGTCGCACTCCAGGGAGGCCCTGACCTGCAAGCAGTAAGGATGCGGCAGAGTCCAAATCAGTGCACGCTTTGTGTTGTGGTGTCCTTGTATTCAGTCACCAATCCACTGACCCACTGACCTGCGTCATGATGAGCGATGACAGCCCATCATCCTGCCTGGACAGATCAAGAGCTCCTTTGGCAGCGAGGCAGCTGGCGATCTCAATGACCCTGTAATCGGACAGCTCGCCTAGGTGCTCACGCCACAACCTGAGACAGCAACAAATCAAGTGGGGGCATGCACAGGATGCATGTCATGCCAATGCACCTACCTCTCGGCTAGTGGCTGAATGATGTCACTCAGGCCGGCGCACATGTCCTTGGCCTGGAGGCCATCCTGCTCGCCCAACTCGACAAGTGAAGTGAATGCGAGGCTCACCACACTCGCCAGCCCCAGGACGTAAGGGGCATCGACCTCTCCAGCCGACAGCCGCCCCTCCGCTTCCCCGACGTACGCCCTGACGAAGACGGTCATCACATCTTTGATGCTCTTGACCTCCTTTGCAGCAGCCAGGCGACCACTGGTGCTGCCGTTGATGACTTCTCGAAGGGTTGCGCGCAGCGCGACGGCCAGGCACCTGCCGAGCTCCACAATGACCCCATTGCTGTAGGACTCAAGATGTCCCTGCGTCTCGTTCATGATTGATGCGAGGTCGGTGAGCGATGGCTTCCTGGCTCGGGCCCACGCCCTCAAGACGTTGGCCCTCTCCTTGTCTCGCGACTGAGAGAAGCGCTCCAGAGCGAGAGGGAACAGTCGACGCACGATCTGCTGCAGTAGGCTGTCTGCTGTGGTGACGTTCCCTCCTTCCTCGCGGATCTTCTCCAGCCGCTGCAGATCGATGGAGAAGCTCGAGAGGAGCATTGCCAGGGCTGCTGGCTTGGGTGCAGCTTGTCCGCCTTCCAGCTTCGGCAGCATGGCATTCACCGCCACAGCAGCATCCTGGAAAGGCCGACCCTGAAGTAGGAAAACAACGAACAGAATGAAGCCATAACACGGCTCGCTGTGTGTCGGCTTACCGTGACACCGAAGAAAGAGAGACTCTCGACGAAGCTGGCGACATCGTGCAGAGGAAGGCTACCCCATCGCCCCTCAAGCCACCGCAGAGTGGCACTAATGACATCATCACTCCAGTGCCCTGTCTTGGCGAGCGCTAACATGGTCTTGGATAGCTCTTGTGACGCCACCATGTCCTCTGCCGCATTCCTGCGCCCCTGCTCTGCCAGCTCCAGTCGAAGCAGTGTCTGGTTGGCCACTGCAGTCATGGTGCGGTTCAGCAGCTGCTGCTGAGTGTTTTCTCTGGGCGCATCGTGTTCAGCGGGCGGGAAGAGAAGTGTTGCGCTCCACGCGACTGTCGCGACGTCCTTGTGGCTGCCCCAGAGCTTGTAGGAGGCGCAGCAGGCCTCCATGCTCTGACAGATTCCTCGAATGAGAAGCTCATCATAGACCCTGGCCGACGCAAAAGCCCAAGCGAGACTCGCCTCGTCTCGTGGAAGCAGCCTCAGTGTGCGCTTCCTGCGAAGATCGACCTGTGCCGTGGATAACGGCAGGCATTGTGCGACACTCCTCAGGAAGGCTGGTGTGACGGCGCCCGTCCTGGCCAGACCCACGACGGAGAGCACCAACTCCTTGGCGGTGAACGACTCACGACGCAGACGATCTCCGACAGTCGCAAGCAGACGGTCCCGCAACTCGTTGGCTCCATCGACGTCAGCTTTATTGACCTTGGAAGGCATCAAGAGACGAGAGGCACAAAGGATCCTTGAGCTCTGTGTTGTTTTTTCACAGTGATATCTTACTTCCTGCATCAATGAAGCAACCTCTGCAATGCACCGCGGAGAGAAACCAGGGAGCCCCTCAACAATGGACTGAAGGCAGCGGGCCATCAAGTCGCTGCCCTGCGGCGGGAGCCGGTCGGAGAGCAGCACCTTCAGCAGCTTGACCTGTTGGTCGCAGGACCACTTGCCACATAAAGACCCAACATGATCCATATCGACAGACCGGAAGGCCTCTGCAGCCGTGAGAGGCCGCACCGGAGAGGGCACCCGTGAAAGGGAGTAAAGTAAGTCGGGCAGATGGCTCTCAAGGCGAGTCCAGCTGTCATCATCCTCCACCCCTCGCCATGCTTCGCATCTTGAGGTTACCTCCCGGCCGATAGCCACCCGCAGCCGTCGGTCGATATCTCTCGACGCCGCTGCCGGTGGTGCCATCACCTCGAGGTTCCACATGTGCTGCGTCAGCTCCTCTGCCGACAGCTGTTGTAAAATGTCACTTGCCGCCGAAAGGGCATGCACTCTGTCGAACAAAGGCCTCCATGCCGGGCTGTTGAGCGCCTTCATCTGCCGGAGCTGCCCGAGGATGACCAGCAGCTCGGACGGTGCGATTGCGCCATGAAGCGGAGCTAGCCAAGCACGCTCGTCGTGTGAATCGAGCTGAGGCAGTGACGCCTGGATCACGCGCAGCATCATCTCGCGAATACTGCCATCGGACAGATAGAGCCGCTGAGCGGCTAGCAAGCTCCGCATAAATAAGGCAGCAGGCAACGCCGGCTCGATCAACTCTCTTCCTTCGCATCGCCGAAGCAGCTCCTCGAGAAAGCCACAAAGGGAGCTGACAATCGTGTTCAGATCCGTCGAGTGAGTCATGGCAAGTGCAGAAGCCGCATCGCCCGATGGCAGCCCTCCAAGTGAAGCAAGCCTCTCAAAGTTTTGGATTGCTTCGCTTGTCTTGACGATCCGCTCATGCTGCGCCTCACTGCTCCCCATCCCATCATATGCTGCTTCTCCTGCTGCAGTCACCGACTCATCTTTCGGCGCGCGTTGCCGCCTCCTCTGTGTCAAAGCTCGATCATCGTCGGCACTCAAGTGCTGCGCTCGCTGCTTCTTCCGTCTTCTCGGCCGATGTCCAAAGTCCGCATCCAGGAAGGGATCTTCGACGCCTCCTCTAAAAGCAGCGGGGAAAGCTGAGCTGTCCACAGGTTGACGCAGCTTCAAGCGAGCGGAGAGCTGCGATAACGAGTCTGGTCTGCCGATGGATGAGTCGGAGCGGGGTTGCTTGGACGAATGGATCCTGAATGCCGACGGGACGATGAATGCTCCGCTGCCTCGCAGCTCACAGCATCCAACCAGGGAGATACTCGCGAGCAGCTTCATTCACCAATTGATCCACATACCTCTCCCGCGCTCATTGCTGTCCTCAGCTCATACGAAGGGGAACAAGTAAAAGAAGGAAGATCGGCATGGCTTCAAGCTCGCACGTTGAAGATCTGAGGCAGGCCTGGACTTTGTATGAGGCTGTGAGGTCACCAGGAAGATCTGCATGTTTTCCTTACTCAGAGGAAGGACCCGCTTTCGGTCCATGCGGCGGGCGCCTGTTGCAGCGCCCATCCCCCTTCGTCTTTGCTCTCTATCCTCGTTGCCTCATCGCATCCAACCGACTCGAAGCTTCAGTGCCAATCCCGGCAGCAAGGAGGCTGAAGAACCGCCGCCAGCGACGAGTGATCCAGGCAAAGCTGATGATGCACCTGCAGCCACACAGGCGACGCAGACGACTCATGAGATGGAGGACGATATAAGCCGCTTACTTCCCGTGTTTGCATTGCTCGGAGGATACGAGTCGCCACCGCGGTGGCATGAGAGCTGGATGGAAAGGCTTGGCATGCGCTTCCAGTCATGGGTGAGCATGCATTGCAAGCAAGGCCAACAGGGGAAGGGAGGCAAGCAAGCGAGGGCAACAAGCAGATGAATGCTGTGCTTTTGTGTGGACTGGACTCATGTCATTCATCAGCTTGGCCTTAATTTCGTCAGCCAAGCATGTCCTGATGTCTTCCGGTCGCGTGATTACTACCACAACTTATCTCGCGGCTCGGTACAGGCCTTCAAAATGACCATGCAAAAGGTACGTCTACTCACCACACGTGCTGCGGCCTGATTGTGGATGGTCGCCTGTCTATCTATCGCTGTACGTATGGATGAATCAGTCGTATGAGGGCGACTTATCTGACTTGGAGGATGTGGTGGAGAGCCGCCTGCTCAAACTCATCACCAAATGGCTCGAACGTGTCAACCAGAAGGGACTCAAGGTCGGTGGGGCAGGCGGCCACCAAGACCGATGAGGCACCAGGGACCAATCGTTGGTTGGTCGTGTGTCATGTGTGGTGTGTGTCAGGTCCAGTGTCAGCTTGAAGATGTTCATGTGCAGGGCTTTGGGAGGCTAGCGATCGTTCTAGGTGCCCATCGGGGCCAGGCTCTTGGCAAGCGAGTGGTTTACAGGGTACGGGAGGCCCCACCGTTGGTGCACTGAGAATGGCCGACGTGTGCGTGATTTTCTTTCATGGGTGACGTGTGCAGATGATGGGGCATTACTTGGTGGTACCTCCGTCCATCGTGCCGTCCAACAAGGACAGCACAGAGCCTAAAAAGTCATTCAACGAAGTCGTCCGCGAAGTCGAGGTGAGCGCCGTGAATGACGCGACACGAGCATTCCACTGTCCAGTTATCGATGGATGGATGGCTGGATGGATGATGACGCAGGGGTTGATGCGGCAGGGTGGTGTGGTGCGCCAGGAGGTGCTCCTGAGCGCCAGGCAGAGCCTGGCTCTCGTCAGACCACAGCCACCCACAGCAGCCAAGCCAGGGGCGGCTGCCGGGGCCGGTACTGGTGGAGAGAGTGCCAAGCCAACTGAGGAGGCGCGTGTGGCCGAGGCGACCACCGAAGCGGCAGAGACGAGGGACGCGGCAGGTGTGGATGGTGTAGGAGCTGCCAGCGAGTCTGATCAGACCAAGAAGACACGCACATCGGAGGTACCGATGCAACGACCTGTCAGCAAACGACATCGGGGGAGGCTTGACTGTTCCGTCCTTTGCTGACAGGTCTCTTACGTCGATCAGTCGAGTAGTGCAGCCGCGGACGGGTCCGCTGGCAAGGAGGAGAGGACCGGTGGCGGTGAGGCTGTCGAGGCTGTGGAGGTGGTGTACGGGAGCACCAAGAAAATGCGTGCTTTCCACACCATTATGCTGGAGATGCCTCTCCATCCGGTCACCCTGCCCATGGCACAGTGAGCAGTCACGCGCACATCCATGCAGCAAGACAACAGTGACCAGCGGGGTGTGTGCTGTTGTCTGTCAGGTTTGCCGAGACTCAGGGAGAGGGCTATCCAGATGTCGAGTACGAAGCCAACCACTGGACAATATGCGACATCAATGACGCCCTCCTCGGCAACCCGCCCCTGCCCCTGCCGCCCACAAGTGAGTTTCACTGACAGCACACGACCTCTCGACAGCACACAGCCTTCTCCCATTGGCTGCAGCGGGGTACATCAATGTGGAGGTGACTGGTGATTGGGACCCCCCTGAGGCAGCCCCACAGGAAGCCAAGACGACCGATGCAGCTTCACAAGAGCCAAAGACCGAGGCTTCCCCCGCGCCATCACAAAACCCGCCATCACCCTCGGGCTCTGACGAGTCAGAAACCGACAAAGACAAGACCCGCGCGGATGGCGAGGCACCAGCTGAGGGGCGGGAGGGGGCCCCTGAGGCAAGTGACAAGGGCGACGACAGGCGCAATGATGAGGAGGTCAAGAAAAAACGGGTTTGAGCAATTGGCCGGCTCTTGGTGTCGATGGGATGGATGGGCGGACACGGACTGGCCGCGGCCTTGGCCGCTGCAACGTGCTTGTTGGTGGCGGGGAGATGGGCGTGTTCGGATGGCTGGTCATTGACTGCCACGATGGTGTCGCTTGCTTGTGTCTGCTGTATGCCGGTGTGCGATAGCGGAGGGCGGGTCGGTCGGTGGGTGGGTGCGTCATGTCATGAGTCGAGTGGGTGGGTACTGCGTTGGGTCATGTGACTCACTGATGGACATGTTCGTGTTTGAAAGTGATAGTATCATCGTGAACATATCGGATTCGTTGCTTGATTACTTCAATGCTCTCACCCCGATGTCGTCCCTGTGTCCTCCCTCTATCCCTCCATTTGTCTGTCCGATTGCAGCAAGCGGTGTCAAGTCAGGCACTCCTCTTTTTGGGGCACCGCGACTGACAACTGACCGCCAGACAATCACGCGGACACACACCACCCCATCACACAGTCCTCGAAAGGAACTCTCACAGACATGTACCCACCGACCGACCCCATCATTCATGCCTCACATGCACTCTCACATCGACCTGATGAGCTCGTCAGTGCACGATGAAATCACCAACAAAGAAAGTGAGCCAGACAAATATATCGAAGGAGCAAACTATGTGTGTGTGCACGAACTACCCATGGCGTAGCGGCCAGCGCATGGTCACCCCCCACCCCTGCCCACCGCTCCCGGAACACACAACACGCACAGCCAATGAATTCATTCATGTGATGGATAAAGCACATACGCATTCAACATGACACAGCAAAAATCACGAATGGAAACAGCGATTGTGTGCACGTGTCTGGACGCTACAGAGAGGACTGATGCCGTCCTGTAATCCTATCTACCACATCCAATTCCTGGGGCCTCCGGGGTTCCTGCAGACAGCTGGATCGTAGTCATATCCAGTGACGGCCTGAAAAGACATACATACACATCCAAACCCAGCACAGGTGCTCAGTGGGCCTTCGCTGTTTGTCTAGTCGCATGTTCGCTCGCTTACGATTGCAGTGCACGGGAGGACGTTGTTGTTGCATGTGATCTGCATGAACAGATGATGGAACGCGTGAAAGGCAGGGTATCCGTAGGGGCAGTGTCTCCTGCACGGCAATGTGGAGACCCGGCGTACGTACCTGGACCCGGTAATTACGGAAGCCGAGGAATGAAAAAGTCCTGACCCAGACATTCGTTGCCAAAGTCCCCCCGTTCGCCCCGACGCAGTCGTCAGGCAAGGGGCCGGGTCTGCGATGCACATGGACAAATCGTAGCGAATGTGTATCTAGCGTATGGATCCGTAGTGAGTACCGAATCTCGCAGATTTCCAGACGCATTCCGCCGAGCGACTTCAAATTCCAGTTGTGACGATCGAATGCACCAGGGTTGACTGAGGCTCTGATGACCCTTGTCTGCCCCGCGCCGACAAGGCCGATGATTTGAGGCCCGTGGATCTCTGCGCACAAGACAGACACACACACAGTGTCCGGTAAATGAAACGACAAGATGCCCTTCCCTCGTTCTCGTCGCTTACTGGAGCATGGGAATTGCTCAGAAGTAACATTGGTGCCGTTGTCGGTGACGTTGCTCACAGGCTCAGAGATACCCTCATACCAGGCAGCTGCATGTGGCCACACACACACGTGTGCGTCTCTCTGTCTCTCCCAGCGTTCGTGTGTGTGTGTGCATCAGTGATCATACGAAGGTTGAGGTCCTTCATCTTGGGGTCATCCTCGTCGCCACCACCGGTCCTGGTCCACACGCGGTCGCCGTGCACAACCACCTCGATGCCCTCCGCGGCGTTCTCCATGAGCACCGTGGAGATGGCATTGAGTTTTTTCACCCTGTTGGCCTCCTCCGGTGCGACCTCAACCTCCTCCCCATCCTCGCCGATGAACCTGGGAGCCGCTGCATGAAGAAGCCACGCACAGGGAGAGACGGCACAGAAGGAGAATGCATATCTGTCAAATCTCAAGCGCGGCCACGCGCATGAGGGGAGTGGCTCACGTTCACGTTCCGCTTGCAGTCTGCGGATCTGGCAGTTGGCGACGCCCGCGAGGGCGATGAGCAGCAGCAGGCAGAAGACCTTCATGAGGGGAGGAGAGATCGGGACAAAGATAAGAAGGACCGCACAAGAGAAGGCAGAGATGCGGGCAGCAGTAGGCAGATGGGAAGCTTCAAAAGGGGGAGAAGTCCGCAACGGCGCCTCATCCGCAACGGCGCCGCAACGCAGTCAGACAAGTGGCGTGAGTGCCAGTGCCTGCCCTTCGGGCAGGCAGGCGCGGAAAACAGCAAAAGGGGATAGAGCAGAGGTGTGGTTTTGTGCGAAGTGTGATTTCCAGAGGTGTGTGAGTTCAGGTGTCGAGAATCGAGGCGGCAGTCTTTCACTGAATCATTGGGACTTACTCGCTGCACGCCTGTGGCTGTTTTTCTGCCGAGGAACGCCTGTCTCGGCTGTGACTGTGATTCTGAGCTTCGCTAAGATCTCTTGAGATCTGTTGGCAGTTATGAGTGACCAGAAGAGCCCAGAGAAGGCCGCAAAAGAAGTGGCAGAAGGAGCTGGTGGTGAGGACCTGGAGCAGCTGGCGGCGCTGATCAACGACTATGACCGGGCAGTGCGCTGTGATGACCTGGCAGGGGTGAGCGGACCACGGAAGCCGAACACCATTCGGAAGGAGGCAAGTGCTGGTGTGTGAGGTGTGTGTCCTGCAGGTGTGTCGACTCGCTGAGGAGATCGATAAGGTCCGTCCCTGCATGAACCAGCGCAGCAAGGCGCTGGCCTCCGCGTCTTCCGCAAGGAGCGTCTCGTCTGCAGTGGGATCGATGTGGAAGGTGGGGATAAGTCCGTCACCGACCTGCACCACAAAGACAGCGAAGCGAGTCGGTGCGGTCGCTTCCATCCCCTTGCCCACCTTGAGACACAGGTCAGAATAAGCTTGGTCGACGATCCGATGGTTGGTCAGCAGCTCGTACCTCTCGAAGCACGGCCAGAGAACGGAGGACTTGATAGAGGCCTTCCAGGCGTTGATTTCGTTGCTGTCCTCTCCTCGGGGCAGCACGGGAGTCAGCTGGCGGAAGTCGCCTGCGCACACGAACACCTTGCCGCCGAAGGGCCGGTCAATTCCTGTGATGTCCTGGAGCATGCGGTGTGTGGCCTCGATATTGTTCACGTGGGCCATAGTCACTTCGTCCTGCACACACACACGCATACACACACACACACACCACACACACACACTCCGCACATGCACGTGCTTGTGTGCATTCAGATAGGGCCGATCAGAGGCCTACCAGATGAGGAGCTGGCTGTGGCGCAGCAGCTCTGCCTTATGAGAGTTACGGCCGACTGTGCACTCCACCGGCTCCTTCGAGATGTTGTCGACTACCTTGATCTTCAAGGCGCCGTGCGCCGTGTGGCCCCCAGTGTAGTTGAGCGCTGCCAGCGCCGTCGTTGCAGTGGCGATGGCGATGTTGCCTCGCATGCGGACCGCCGACAGCAGGCACTGCAGCAGCGTGGTTTTCCCGGAACCGGCTGATCACCAGCAAAGACACACACGCATGCACCCCCCGGTCCACACCGCCTGTGTGTCTGCCTGTGTGTCTGTCCGTCTGTCTGTTTCTCACCCAGTGCGGGCACAATCACCGACATCGGAATCACGCCATCCACTGTCTCGTTGGCCCTCGACGCGTCCGGATAGAGGTGCTCGAGCACGTCATTGTAGACCCTCAGCTGCTCGGGGTCAGTCTCGAAGAGCGAAAACAACCGATCATGCTCTCGCCGCACGTCGGCGAGGTTCCCGTAGCTCTGCCGCTCCATGCCTTCGTCAGCAAAGTCCTCAGGCTCAGGCAGGCTGAAGTCCTTGTTGGTCTTGCCTGGGCTCATGGCATCGATGTCCTCAGAGATGTCGCGCAGCAGCAGCTGGTAGGCCGCGTTCGGGTCGAGCCCTTCGTCCTCCTCGTAGTCACTGACGAGGAAGTCCCGATGCGTCTCGAGGATCTCCGGAGCGTCGCACTCGTGGTTGACAATCAGCTGGACGAAGAGCAGACGTAGCTGGAACGGTAGCAGGCCGTGGTCCTCGATCGCCTCCAGCAGCAGTGTCTTCACGAACTCGTCTCCCTGGAGCAGGCCGCTCTCTCTCGCGGCGTCCACGTAATGGTCATACACCTGCCCGTTGATGGTTCGCAGGGCCTGCAGCACGTCACAGTCAGCAGCAGCCACCAAGAGGAGACATTGGCAGACGCCAGGAATGGAACGATGAATGCGGGAGTTGTTACCTCGTAGGAGCCCCGCGCCTTGGACGTCTTGAGCAGCAGACGAAGGTAGTAGGGCTCGCCCTGCGAGACGTTCATGGTCTGCAGCCGCGTGCACACCTTGTGTCCGCTTGCTCGCTCGTAGAAGACGTCGCCGTTCTTGGTGCGGAACGAACGGCGGCCCTTCGGCACCGCCTGCCGCTGCTGCTTCATCTGGTATCGCTCGAAGAACTGCTGATACGTCACGTCATCGAACTCAGGATCGTCAGGCCGCGCCAGCCAGTGCTCTAGCTCGTTGGGCTTGGGCTGGATCACCCGGCCTCGCTCGCTCTGCCTCCCGTACACCAGCTGCACCAACTTGCGCTTCTCTGGAAGGACCACTGGCAAAGTGATGACCGGCGGCTCGATCACCGTGATCCTGTGGCTCAGGATGCGGTGGCAGGCCTCGCTGCCGCAGATGACCCGGCCCTCCTGGTACTCGGCGATCTCGTCGCGCGCGGGAGCCGCTCCGCCGTGAGCCCCGCCACTCGCACTCGTGGCCGCCGAGTCCGCCCCCGCCAGCCTCTCGACGTAGGAGCTCTGCCTCGCCCGCTGCTCGTCTCGCTCCTGCTTGAAGCTGTGCCCCCTTGCGGCTGTGCTCGCCGAGTCGGTTGCCCACTTGATGGTGAAAGGATTCTTGTGGGGTTTCCACATGTACCGGAACATGTAGATGATCACCTTCATGAACGCAACGACGTCGCAGTACACGTGGCAGCGCAACAGCGCTAGCAGCACAGGCGAGTAGGACGCGATCCAGCGGTCGAGCACGTCTCGTCGTCGATAGATGCAGCGGCCGTGGACGTTCCAGTGTGTCTCGTTGCAGAGAGGCCACGGCGCCCCCAACTTGCACGGGGTGCGACATCGGTCCCCCAGCAACATGTACTCTTCCAGGCTCTTCTTGTCG